GTTTTTTTTTTTTTTTTTTTTTTTTTTTTTTACCATAAGCCGGTTAGCTGTTACTGTGACTGCCTGATCCAGCAGCAGGGCCCGTGCATCATTACCTGTTCAGCCAGAAAAAAAGCTAAAACTCAATCTGGCCTGAATCCTTTTTCTTCTTACAGTGTAAGTCTCTTCCACTCTTTCACTCCCATTTGCTTTGTTTACACTTGTTCATTCGTTCTCTCTCTGTCTCTCTCTCTCTCTCTCTCTCTCTCTCTCTCTGCTAATCACTGTGTAGCTGGACTTTTGACAGACATGCCTGACACGGCTCGGATTGTAAACGCCTATTACAGAATTGACAAGCTGATTCACAGCAACTCAGAAACACTGGATTATAATCCTACGCACTGTAGCTTTAAGACTGAATGTTCACATTAAAGCTGACCACAGAAAGTGCATCTTTTCCAAGCGGATACATCTGAACACATTTTTGTGTTGCGGGGTGGATAAGAGAAAATGGACCTTTGTGAAAACGTTGTGGTATGATTGTCATGTGATCACAACCACAATTCCAAGATGGCAGAACTTATTGCGATGCTGTTTTCAGTATTAGCTATTTTAATTTCATGTTTGACTGCTTTATATTGTATACAAGCAATGCTGGGGGTGTGTGAGAAAGCATGATTCATGTTCATGTGGTCATGTTATGTGCATGCCTAGCATGCCGTTTTGCATCGTTTGCATTTCCTTGTGGAGACGAACCTTTTGGGAAACAAACCGAAAATGCTAGTGTGGTCAAAGAATAAAAACATTTTAAAATGAGCTTTGTTATTGTGGACTAGGCCTTATTCTTAGACTGTTCTTTGCAATGGGCAATGTGGCTAATCATATCCAATCCACTGCTTCCTCTTTGGGCTTCCATCTCTTTTTCTTGCCTCTCTCCTTTTCCACAAAGGGCAACATTAGAGCTGAACTCTTATAAGAATGAACGCTGAACTCTTATAAGAATATATGATGTGCAAACAATAAAGAAGTAGCAATACTTCTGCAGCTGAATGCAAAAGCATGGACACAGGAATGATGTGTGTGCTTTACAGTGTACCACATTTCATTCTATCAGGAAATATGCGGTGTTAGCTGGTATGGTAGTTTTCTGGCACTCTCACTGGGTGCTTGGCAGGGCACTCGCTCTCTTGCTTTCACTCTCTCTCTCTCTCTCTGTGGTCTCTCCACCCTGCCTTATCTCACTTCACCTCCCTCCCCTCTGTGCTGTAAATTTAATTTTAAATTAATATGTGCTAGTACATCTGGTTAAACAAAATTAGTTTACAGATTTGCGTTTGTGTACTGCTGACTTGATGCCATGTCTGTCACGTCAGCTTCAGCTAATGTTGTTACCCGACCAGTTTATGATAAACATGTTGTAAAAATATTGTTACACAATCTTCCATGAAATATTGTGATGTTATGTTATCTTGCTGTTGTTGATTCCTGTTATAGGAATTGACATATAACTGTCTCTGGCGCTCTGATTTATTATTAGTATTATATTGTTACTGTTATTATCTAATGTGTTGTATCGGATTTAAATGCATCAATAGTAGCAAAGCACTTGCTTAAGGCTGGTACGTCTTATCAAGGCTTACAATCAATTCTGTCCAATTGTTCATTCAGCCTACACCAGCCTATTCAGCGCTTACTGTTTTCCTATATCTATGCCCGGGAGCACCTCTTGTGTATATAATGGGATATCTGCAAGCAAATAAATGCACCCCATAATTTAAAAAAAAACAACAAATAACAATGGCATCCATCTCTCTGACTGGAGAGGCGATGACAGGAATCACTGAAGGTCAACTTCAGATAAACACTATTGCCATAAACCATCACTTTTTGCACATTTATTTCAGCCTGTGCAAAAAAAAAAAAAAGGTTCAAGTGAACAACTAATCCCAGGAACTATCCCTAATGTTACATTTGTGGTTCATCAATGCACTAACTGGTGAGGAAAGACAGAACCGTTATCTTCAAACCAGACTCACTCTAAAGGACTCAGGAAGTCAAAGAAATAAGACCAGTCAAAAGTATTGAACATAATGATCCAAACAGTGAGCTCATTACTCGAGGAAATGCCTTCTGTATGCTAATGAAGCACGAGCAGTGTGAGAGTTAAACCCTACAATCAATTTCACACTAACATGGCTCACAAGGCCACAGTGGAGGAATGACTACAGACCGCTGAGGATGTGTCTCGCAGTAATCATGCAAATGAATAGTAATAGTAATGGAAATTTGTAGTCTGTTAGAAAAGACGTCTCGAAGGTTATTTCTGTCTCACTCTCGCACACGTCTTTCGAACAGCCTCCAGTTAGACACTTCAATCAGAGCCGTCGTCACTCCTCCAGCCAAAATCCTTTCTTTGTTAAATGTTATTTAAAGAGGAAAAGATAAGCAATGCAATCCAATATTATTCAGATAGGTGATATGCTAAATTTTATAGGTGATCTACCAGGAGAAGAACAAATACAGCATTCTAAAATTATACTGAAGTATGAGTATCGTGTCAAAATCATACTCAATTAAAAGTAGAAAATTAGTCTTGAGAGAAAGGTGATTGTGTCTACACTGCAAGATGTTTGATGTGTAAATTTTGTCCTTTCTGGTAGAGAAATTGCTGTTGCAGTTGACTTGTGTCAAAACATCTCATAACACGTGCTGCACCTTTCTCCAACGCGCATTAATCTCACAGTTGTCACTGCCAAGTCAATACACATTCAGTGAGAATTCAAGGCTGTGTTCCAAACATCATGCTGCACATTACGCAGTATGTGTAAATAAGGACACCAAATGTTTACTTTCACAGTATCCAGTTCCATTAAATGTTAGTTGTATAGCACTTTTAACAACAGACGTTATCACAAGGCAGCATTACAGAAATCCGGACGCGGATTTAGATTCCTAATGAGCAAGAGGTGACAGTGGCAAGGAAAAATACGAACATTTAGTACAGTAGTATTTGATTATCTGAGGATATAAATTAAAAAGAAAATCTAAAAAAAAGTGTTGCTCTACTGTAATCTCACAATCTGTTCTCCATGGAGTGAATACGAGGGCTTGTCCCTATGCTACGTCCATCTCCAGTAGTAAGCTAGTCCACTAACTCTAGCTAGCTAAAACTATCAGAACAAAACGAGCAGGTCTGGTTGCTAAAACACACAGATGGATGGATGAAGTACACATACTGATGGTGACATAAGAAAGTCTGAAGTACAGAAATACATAGAAACATACCAAATGCACCTAGCTGTCCATTAGCCAAATATAATTTCTCTAGCTAAAACCCAACTGGGTAACAATAGAAATTCCACAACATCAATAAATCACTAGCTTCCCACCAAATTACAGAACAAACAAAACGATCTCAGTCCTCAACCCATTTCCTCTTATGGATTATATTCGACTCTCTCAGTCTTTCTCTCCCTGATTGGTTGCCAGCGTTTGCCTGTCACTGTGTAGTCAGACTTCTTTCGTGCCTAAGGTAGGACGCAATGATGTTTAACGTATCGGAGATGGTGTGTGAAATATGTGTACGAACATCCAGGCAAACTGACAGTGAATTACTACTACAGGATTGTCAGGGCAAAAAACAGCACACTCTCCGTGGGTCTAGCCTGAACAAAAACAGGGAATGTTACTGTAACACTGCAAGATTTGCTATTTGCTCGATACATTTAACATACCACAGCACTTTTAAATTCTCAAATCTGACTGATCAGAAGGTATTGATTAATTTTCTATAGTAGCAGCTCTGACAGTAGTGCTGACTGCAAGGCAAAATCACAGGTTTGTATTTATGTGCTTTTTTATAATACATTATCATTTTGGGCTTTGATGTTTCTCAGTAACATTACAAACGAGAGGCTGGTGAATTAATGACTGTTTACTGCTGCTATAATGTCAGTGATGATAGGAAACAACTTGTATGGTGGATGCTCCAAAAAATAACTATACATCGATAATATGCAAGATGTGTCAATTTTTATTCATTAAAAATAAATAAAATGGCAAATTGCTATGGTATAAGAGGAATAAAACACTTTAACTTCAGATAAGTAGGTCTCTCCACTTTGGGCTGTGTAACACCACCCCCTCATTATTTTCCTACACCAGTACCCACTGAGTTTTATTCAGACAGACAGAACAGAAGCCTTTATTTGTCACATATACATTACAGCACAGTGAAATTCTTTTCTTCGCATATTCTAGCTTGTTAGGAAGCTGGGGTCAGAGCATGGAGTCAGAGCGCAGGGTCAGCCATGATACAGCGCCCCTGGAGCAGGGACGGTTAAGGGACTTGCTCAAGGGCCCAACAGTGGCAGCTTGGCAGTGCTGGGGCTTGAACCCCTGACCTTCAGAGCAGTAACCCAGAGTCTTAACCACTGAGCCACCACTGCCTTACTTATCACTGTGCTGTAATATGACGGGTGTAAAGAAAAAAATTATCTGGCTACCAACAAGGAAGTGCACTTTAATCTCTAGATTACAGATCATCACCCTGACGTTTTGTGTTATTTGACTTTGAAAGCAAAGTTTTCCTGAACCCTGGTATAACCAAATATCGGGCACATTCCTAGTGCAAAACCCAAAGCTGAGTTATAATAATGACAGATCCATACTGAACCAATGGTGGAAGACTATTCCAACCGTATACACACACACACACATTATATGTCTCACACTGAGAGAATAATGAACAGATTTGCAAACTGCATCACACTGTACCACAGTCAGCCAAAAAATATTACTGCTAACTGAGGCCTTACAGAGAGAAAGGTTGATAGGCAGAAACATGAAAAGAGCCCTTTGAAGGCAGGAGTTCTATGTGCAGCTCATGTCAGAGACAGGAGATGGGAACAGACTATCTACACCAGCTATTCTATCTATTCTTTCATTATTTGGTATATGCAAATTTGAAGAAGACAGACAGGCCACAAAAACACTTCCTCTGCAAATATACAGAATCAGCAAACGAAGTGTGAAATTATTACCATTTCATTGCAAAGCCTTGTGCAAACACCTGTGCCCTTGCTACAAACAGCAGCATTGTATTAAGTAATAAAGCAATTTCACTAGTGGTCTCAGAATCTTTGACCCCATCGTACACACACAACGGGGAAGGCAAACTCACAGGATCTCATATAACATTAAACAGAAAGCAAAGTGTCAATTTCGGCATTGCTGCTGCTCAAGCACTTTGCACTAGAATTCCAAGCATAATGTACTTTATGCTTTATTAATTCCTGTTGAGTAATATGTTAGTAGTCAGACACCCAGCCGAGGTTCTTGGGTCACTGCAGCTCCAGCCACTGTATCGATATGGTTTCCTGAGCAGCTGTTAGAGCTGTATATGCATTTTTCTGTTGACTCATAGTAAGACTAAACACAAGGAACATTCTGGCTGCTCTCTTTTTAGCAAAGTTGTTCATATTTTTTTCTTACAATTTTTTTTTTTTTGCAAAGTGTGATTCATAGAAACAAATGCAGGTGAGAAGAGACTATTACAACAACTAGCTGAATATATATTCACCGTCTGTCACCGTCACCCAGTGTTTTCTGCTTTTTGCACCATTCTGTGTAAACTCTAGAGACCGTTGTGTGTGAAAATCCCAGGAGATCAGCAGTTTCTGAAATACTCAAACCAGCCCACCTGGCACCAACAGCCATGTCACGCTAAAAGTCACAGAGATCACACTTTTTCTTCATTCTGATGTTTGATGTGAACATTAACTGAAGCTCTTGACCTGTATCTGCATGATTTTATGCATTATGCTGCTGCTACATGATTGGCTGCCTGGATAACTGCATAAATGAGCAGGTGTACAGGTGTTCCTCTTAAAATGGACTGTGAGTGTACAGTAGCATGCAAAAGTTTGGGCACCCCTGGTCAAAATTTCTTTTACTGTGAATACATAAGCAAGTAAAAGAGGACCTGATTTCCAAAATGCATAAAGTTAAAGATGACACATTTCTTTAATATTTTAAGCAAGATTACTTTTTTATTTCCATCTTTTACTTCAGTATTTAGTAAGACCCCCTTTGGCAAAACGAATCAGGCTTGTTTAGAAGTTCTTTTGCAAACATCTGATGCTGAATTTTGGGGTGAGGAAAGGTTTCTTCTGATGACTCTTCCATGAAGGTCATATTTGTGCAGGTGTCGCTGCACAGTAGAACAGTGCACCACCACTCTGTCTGCTAAATCTTCCTGAAAGTCTTTTGCAGTCAAACTGACTTGCCTTTCTTGCAATCCTACGAGCAGTTCTCTCGGAAAGTTTTCTTGGTGTTCCAGACCTCAACTTGACCTCCATCGTTCCTGTTAACTGTCATTTCTTAATTACATTACGAACTGAAGAAATGGCTGCCTGAAACCGCTTTGCTATCTTCTTATAGCCTTCTCGTGCTTTGTCAGCATCAATCATTTTAATTTTCAGAGTGCTAGGCAGTTGCTTAGAGGAGCCCATGGCTGCTGATTGTTGAGACGAGGTTTGAGGAGTCAGAGTATTTATAAAGCTTTGAAATTTGCATCACCTAGCCTTTCCTACCGATGATTGTAAACAAGCCTTAGCTCTAACAAGCTACAGTAATTAAGGTCTGAGAACTTGGTAAAAGTTATCTGAGAGCTCAAATCTGTTGGGGTGCCCAAACTTTTGCATGGCACTCCTTCCCTTTTTTTAAACTCTAAAATTGTACAAAACAAAAACAATATTGCTTAAAATGTTGAAAAGAACGTTTCCTCTTTATGCCTGTTGGAGATCAGCTCATCTTCTTCTCACTTAACTATTCGCAGTAACAGAAATTCTGACCAGGGGTGCCCAAACTTTTGCTTGCCACTGTATATACACAGTGGATATAAAAATTCTACACATCCCTGTTAAAATTGCAGGGTTTTTAAAAAAAAGAATCTAAGGTGATGTCCGACTGTGCCAGATCTTTTTCCACCTTTAAAGTGATTATATATTATATACAGTACATTTGTATTATTTTCACTATTTTTTCTTTCCTCAATACTTTTTCACTACCATTACTACATGCAACCCTAAAACACAGCATTACACACCTACACATGGATAAAAGTGCTTCCTCAGCAGAGCGCTGAGATGATAGTGTGTGTGCGTGTGTTATTGTGTGATCCTCCACTTTGAATTTCTCTCCTCACTTCACAGCCACTCTGGCCTTCAGCTCTCTGAAAACTATAAATTAATTACAGACATTAGTGGGGCTGATAAACAGATAAACAAGCGAGTGTTTATGCTCCACGCAGACTCTAAATGAGGTTCAACTAGTGCGCTGATGATTAATTTAGTGCTTACTGAGCCTTTCATCCTATGCATAGGCACAGATGGAGAATAGCTTTTAAAACCTTGCCAGTACACAATCTGAGGAAAGCAGCGTGGCAGATGCCAAAGTGTCGCGTCTCCTCTATGAGCAAAATGCAATCGCGTTCTTTTTTCAGACGAATCAAGCAGGCTCTAATTAGACGAGCTGAACTGAGGATCATTTAGCTCAACAGGACAAATAAAGTGGTAAATGATGGCACCCTTGAGGTTGGCTTCCATAAACAGCCTTGTTTGGATCTGAGTTTTAAATGCATACTCAGATAATCTGTGCCGTGACCAAAGCCACTCTTTTTTTTCCCCCACCTTCATCAGCAACTCTCTCTCTCTCTCTCTCTCTCTCTCTCTCTCTCTCTCTGGTTCCATAATAGCATTCACACTTTGCCATCTCATTTTGCTGTAGTGAATAATTCAGGACGCAGCTCAACTCCACGTTCGCCCCCGGTTGCCTACTGTACATTTTTCCGCAGCAGGAGAAATATTCTTGATGCTGAAGAAGTCAGATTAGTGAGCTTGGCTGAAAATGGCTTCCTACTCAACATAAAATGAACCAAGACACTCACAAAGGACCCAGGAGAGAGTGGGAGGCCTCGCTGGTGCCTGAAAATAACTTGACTAAACGGAAACGGTGAGAAGAGAAAACTAAAAACTGTTAGTTAGAATATTTTAAAGCCTTAAAATAAACCCTTTAGTTTGAGCACACTACCATCATTAAAAAAAAAACCCTCATCCGTCCATGTCAGTGGAAAAATCAATTAAAACCATTATACAATAGAGATAATGCCCAACTAAAGCTTATCTACATAACAAAATAACAGATGAGAGATAACAGAGGAAAACAACACCATGACGCAAAGAGTGATAGCGTCTACAGAAGTCTTCTATATGTTTTGCTTCCTCATAACTAAATCATGTGAAAACAGGAAACTCGTTGTTATTTTCATTATATAAACATAAGCCTAGCCTAAAACATTAGTGCTTGTTGTTACGACTACGCTCCAAAATTGGTTTAAAATTGTTTACATTTGCATACATTAGAGGGCCCCAGTGTAATAATAATAATAATAATAATAATAATAATAATAATAATAATAACAACAACAACACAAACGTAAACTTACATAATTAGGTCATGTGCTAATGATCAGTTATGGGATATATAGTAATATTCAGCACATACTACTGTTACCTCCAAATACTGCCACTACCCCTTGTGCTATTTAGGAGGAGGTTGCCTACGTAGGCAGCATTTTATGTTCCAGAAATAAAGACTGCTCCAGCACAAGGACAGCTGCCTCCCTATTCTCCTAATTTTAGAGAAATCTGAAGGTAGTGTCACGCGTATCGTTCTCTGTGGAGCTAATGTCATAATTCTGTACACGAGTTCTGAAAGACTTCAAAAAAAAAAAAAAACATGGTGGACGGAATTGTTTTTCAAATGATGAACCATTTTTAGTAATGCAGCAATTTAATATTGTATTGCAATAACGTCATGACCGATCAGACGGGATTAGGCAGTTGCGAGGTGGAAGTGGAATATCAGCACAGTCTTATGTGTAATTAGAGTTGGACAGGATGTTAATTGCTTGGTTTCGAGTGACTGCGTGTGAGTTATGATGCAGATCACTTTAGGAGAGGAGGAGATCACGCCAGGACACACAGAGCTCAAATCCAACTCAAGCCTCTGGCATTCAGAGTGTGTGAGACTGAGGACACTCAGCCAAATCCCAATCCCCTCGGAGCTGCGCAGGTATGTGTGTGTGTGTTTGTGTGTGTGTGTGTGTGTGTGTGTGTGTGTGTGTAAAGGGAGAGAGGTGATGAAATGCCAGAGTGATCACAGTAGGCAAAGGGTGAGACAAAGAAGGAACACAAAGCGGGAGTGTGTGTGTGTGTGTGTGTGTGTGTGTGTGTGTGTGTGTGTGGGGACAGAGACAGATAGACAAAGAGAAAGGTAATAAAATGATCACACTAGGCAGTAGGCAGAGACTGGGACAACGTTAATGTATATGAAAAAAGAAAAACACAGCAGAACAGAGTTAAAGAAGCAGAGAAGAAGAGCTTTGT